AACACGCATCTTCGTCGCATCTCCCAACCCATGATCACGATATAGCCGACGCTTAACTTCTGGGTGCGATGAACGGCACACCCCAGGTTCGCCGAGGCGTGGGCGGCTTCCCATCCACACCACAGAACACGAACCGCTCCCCCGGCCTCCAGAGCCCGAATGGCACAACACCGCGACCCAACATCAAGTCGCCCTTGCCAGATCTGCCCAAAGCCTCCGCGCAATCAAGCTCAGGGCCCCTAATACCCTCCGACATCCTCGATCCCGCCCAACAACGCTTCTATGTCTTCGCCCTATACGTCGCCCTATGGGCATACCGAACATACGACTTCTATACGCTGGCTGTCGAGGAGGACGAATCGTTAGTGCTGTGCCTGAAATGGTGCTTCTTCGACGTGCTGTTCATGTTCGGCATACCGCTACTGGAAATTCCTTGGCTGGAATGGGGCAACGGCGCCGCCTTCCTGCTGTTTGTGCTGCATGCGGGCGTCGACGTCATGCTCATGTTCAGAATTGGCATACCGGTACAGGCATGGCTTATGGGGCTGGTGGGCTTCTTGTGGGATAGCGAATTGGCCATCAGCGAGCGGAGCGTCAAGCCTGGTGCTATCCTACATAACGCCTCCCTTATTCTCGGAAAGCAGATTGTCAACATCTTGCCTGAGGGTTCTGCAGTCTTGAACCCAGATAGGCAGTCGTTCTGTCTGAACTCGTCCGTCACCCAACTCGAAATCCCGATTATGATCAACCAGACCGAACCCCACGAGATGGAGATCCTGCGCATCGACATCGATACCAATGTCAACGAGACCATCGTTGTTAAGAAGGGAGAGCTCAAGTCTATGTTGAAGAAGGCTAGGAAGACGCAGAAGTCATCCGACCCTGACGATCCATTGACTCTGGCCTACACGATCAAGAAGCCAGGTGTATACCTGCTCAAGAAGGTTACGGATCAGTCGAAGCTTCTGGTCCGGCCGCGGTCCACCAACGTCGTCGTGGCCACCTGCCCGCAAGCTCGAGTGAAGCCTACTGGCAACAATCGCTGCCGTAGCGATCTATCCAACGTTGCACTCGAGGTCGAAGGAACACCGCCCCTGAACGTCAAGTACCGCCTCACGGTAAACGGGAAACCCCGCGGCGGGTCTCAATTCCAGAATCTGCAGCCAGACGACGCCATCTCGCCCTTGTCGAAACACACATCACAAGCACTGGTCAAGAGCGGACGCGAAGACATCTCCTGGGCACGCCCGCACAAGGTTCTCGTACCTCTGAACGAATCTCTCACGACTAGTGGCTCTTGGGAGTACGAAATCGAGGAGGTGCAGGATGGACTGGGCAACTTCGTGAGCTACCTGAACGTCGACGATGACGAGCGCCCAAGGCCCAAGGTCGCAGGCATTCGTCAACTATTCGAGGTCCACGAGCGCCCTACAGCTTTCCTCAGAGGCTGTAGCCCACAGAACCCGCTTCGGGTACCCAAGGGTGAAGCCGCTCGTCTGCCCGTCCAGTACCAGTCTACGGGTAAAAGCGCTATTGACTCTGCGCATACCGTTGAGTATCTCTTCACACCCCAAGAGAATATCGTTTCGGATGGCTACCACAGTCCAGATGCTGTGCTGCAAAAGCAGGTCATGCGAAAGGGTGAACAGCCGACTATCAAGGTCGCCGGTCTTTACACCATCAAGTCTGTGTCGACCGACTTCTGCGAGGGTGAGGTTTTTGAACCTACTTCGTGCCTACTACACAACCCGCCCGAGCCGGATCTCACGCTAGACAGCGAGGACATCATAGATAAATGCGCGGGCAACCCCATCGGTCTTCGCGTTGGCCTTGATTTCGTTGGAAGTCCACCTTTCGTGGTCACCTACTCCGAGAAGAAAGACAACGGCCGGGAGGTCAGGCAGCCGCCACTTCAGATTGCCAGTCTCCGCAGTACGATCGATCTTACGCCGACAGATGCGGGTCATTACGAATACTCATTCAAAACCATCAGCGACTCGGTTTACAAAGAGAGGCCCCTTAGCAACATCAAACTCCAACAGGACGTCAAGCCATCCGCACAAGCATACTTCATTGAAAGCAGTAGACCTAAGCAAGCTTGTATCGACGATGTGGTTGAGTTTGACGTGGGCTTTGCTGGTGAGGCACCCTGGAAGCTCGAATACGAAATTGTCCACAATGGCAAGCGTACGAAGCGCACCATCGAGACCGAGACCGCGCACTACGTGATACGAACAGACAAGCTCAGCAGCGGTGGCGAGTACGTCGTAGCTCTGACGAGTGTTACCGACAAATCTAAATGCAAAGAGGTTCTCAAACCCGTAGCTAGAGTCAATGTTCGTCACGAACGACCCAAGGCGTACTTCGGGCACATTGAAGGCAAACAATCAGTCTTGGCTTTGGAAAGTCGACAAGTCGGACTTCCTCTTCGCTTTACTGGAAACGGCCCTTGGTTCCTAGAGTACGAAAACTTGAAGACCAAGGAGGTCAAGAAGGATAGCTTCCAAAACCCTAACTCGTGGCTTGACGTCAAGACAGATGGAACATATCAGTTGATCTCCGTTAAGGACTCTGTTTGCCCTGGCTTGATCGATGAAAAAGCTGACCAATTCGACGTATCTTGGGTCGCACGTCCCTCGCTCAGTGTTCCTGAAAGCAGCGCGGTGCTGGAAGGCAGCAAATATATCAAGGACGCCGTCTGCGAGGGTGACGAGGATTCATTCGATGTGTCTTTAACCGGTAAGTTATCCCGAGTATCCCACACATTGCCAATGCTAACGACATCGTAGGAAATGCTCCTTTCGACATTTCTTACCGACAGGAATACAAGGACAAGAAGGGAAAGACAGCCTCTGTCAGCGAAAAGGACTTGCACACCGTTGGTGGTCTTGCATCGATTCGATCCGAAACCTCCAAGGCTGGTACTTACGAGTACACTTTCCTGAAACTGGCGGACGCCAGATACAACCACTCGAAGAAGCACTTCTCGCCTATCACGATTCAGCAACAGGTTCACTCACGTCCTGGTGCTCGTTTCGATAAACCTGGAAAGACATACAGCTACTGTTCGCGAGAGTCAGAGGGCGAAGAAGTCATCCCCATCACGCTGGAGGGCGTTGCACCATTCTACCTGGAAGTGGAGATCAAACATCAAGGTACCCCTAAGCCGGAAATCAGCGTCCACAAGAGCATCCCCACAAACAAGTATGATCTCAAGATTGAGCACCGCAAGATGCACCTCGGTCACTCGTCAATTTCCATCCGTAAAGTTCGCGACTCGCGTGGATGTACCCTCAAGCCTCCGCCAGGTGGTCCCCGTGTGCAAATCAGCGTTCATGATGCGCCTACCGCCACACCCCTGGAAGACCGACAGGACTTCTGTGTCGGTGAGCGCCTGTCCTTCGCTCTTAGTGGCCAAAGTCCCTTCACAGTATACTACACCTTCGAGAAGCAAGAGCGCAAGGCCTCCAATCCGGGCACTACTTTCCGCCGTCTCGCTGAGCTTCCAGGATTGTTCACTATCACTGGTCTACGCGACTCTGCTTCTGAGTGCCTTGCAGCGCTCGACCTTACCAAGACCATTCATCCAATCCCCTCTGTACGTCTCTCTGGAGGTCAAGTCCACGAGATCGACATTCATGAGGGTGGCGGTACGGATCTAGAGTTCCAGTTCTGGGGTACACCGCCTTTCGAGTTTACCTACACGCGGAGCACCAATGCAAACAAGGGACGGAAGAGCAAAGTGCTGGAGATCAAGACGGAAATCAGTCATGAGATGAGTATGAGCATTCCAGTTCAGGAGGAGGGTACGTACGAGGTTGTATCCATCAAGGACCGGTGGTGTAGTTTTGCGAAGCCCGGTGAGGGCCATGATGGCAAAGGCGGACAGAAGATGTTGACCTACTGAATGTGAAGAGGAACGGGGTACAGATTTTGTTTTGATGTGCATGGATTGGCGTTTAGCGTTTCCTTTCGGACGTTTCTCAAGGTTTGCATGAGACTTTGTATTTATGGAAGGCCTTTGGCTATGGAAGGGGTTGGGTAGCGTGTGAACCAGCGATGAGCATTTATTATCGAGAACTTGATACATACAGCTTGCCCTATGCTTCTCCATACCACACTTGAGGTAGCTCGATGCTGGAACAGCCCTGGCAAACCACAGTCATCGACTTACCAACCCACCAACGTACACACCCAAAGTTCCTCGCGAAAAGACTTCAAATTCGAGCGCGAGCCCACAAGCTCGATGCTGGCGCCGAAACAGTATCGATGATAAGTAGCGCATCGCGATCGCGTACCTGCATCTAGCGCTAAAGTGGACCCTTTCGCATCCTAACACCATACTGATGATATCATGAATAAAGTGACATCACAGCCACGACTAGGCTGATGGGAGCGACAAAAACAAAGAAAACTTCGCGTGTCTTCTAGCATTGGAACTTCATTACATTGCACTTCACTCCAACTCATTGCGAATAACACAAATTCTACGTTTACACGCAACCACACACCAAACAACCAATATGCCTCACTCCAAGACACCCGGCCAGAGCAATGCTGCTTCAGACAAGTTCAACAAGCAGGAGGCTGAGAGTACGTTTTGCATTTCTTCTCCTAAATCTCTGCTGGGATGTCATTCTAACAAATATGACAGGCAAGGGTCTCGGTGCATCAAACGCACCCGCAGCGAAGGAAGGCCACGCGCCCGGCGAAGCGCCCGTAGCTTCAGACAGCGGAAACTCAAACGTCGGCGTCGACCCGAGCGCCAACAAGCCCGGAGAGAAGGGCATCGGTGGACCTAACTACGGTACACACTAGACATGCATCTCTGTCTATGAGGAGATGGTGTATGAATAAGAAAGAAAGGAAACAAGCAAGAGCTCAGCCGTCTCCATGAAATTACGAATATCATTGTATAAATTACGGGTATATTTTTTCCCAAGTCACGCCAGAAAAGCTGTATGTGACCGTGTGTATGAACAATGTGGCCGTTGTGCGTGTTACGCTGCCTTTGGTTTCGGGATGCGGAAGGGATGGGCTTCGGTGTTGAAGACCCAGTCGTCCAGGCTGATGACGTTTGGCTCGCTGAACGTCAGGTAAAAGTACTTTAGCGTTTCCGCCATCCAGAAGCTCTGTAAGCGTGTTAGTACACGCTCGATGTCTTCTGACAAGAAACTAAGAGACGACTTACCTCCATGCTGTCCGCTCTCGGTGGAGAGTCGGCAGATACGTCTATCAATGCAGAATTACCGATGTCAGTGTCTGTGGAGCGCTGTATAGCCGTCCACATATCCCATGCAGCAGCTTGCCATTGCTGCTCCCCTGTGATGCGGTGCATGATGAAGACACTCTCGATAGCCTCCGGCCTGAGAATGTACCTTCTATCATCGACACTGATGAAGCCGCTGGGGAGGCGGAGGTTCGCAATGTTCTTCAACGGATCCTTTTCGTCCGCAGCATTAGATGTCCGGGATAGTATACCATCGAGCCATGCTTTCTCGTCCCATACGCAGGTTGTCGTATTGTCGCACATGAGGAGATGCGATACTTCGGGCATGATACCTGCGGGCGATGCCTTGTAGGCCCAAACACAAGTGTCTGCCAACTTCCGACCGATCGTGACATGTTCGTCGTTCTGGAATAGCTTTCCGCCGAGGGCAAACATGCCACCTGTGTAGCATGCCAAGTGTTGCATCTCTGGGTCCAACGCCGTCGTCGCACCTTCGGCACGGACAAATCCTGACATGAGCATGTCGGAGTTCTCTGGGGTTGATGGCCTGAACAAGGCATATTTGGATGCCGTGTCCATCGCTCTCTCGTACATCTTGCGATAGATGGCGTCTTGACCACCGAGCAGCGCATATTGCTTGCCAATATACTCGTACGTTGAATCAGCCATACTCCCCAGGGTGAATCCACTGTCAGCAGTGAAGTCCGCAGTTCGAGCGTTGACAATGAGAGGCCACATGCCCGGTAGCTTGGTCTTGTCCTGCTGTTCTTCGAGAAGTCTGGTTACCCTGTTGACCGCGTCGTACCATTTCGGGTCCCCGGTCAATTGCGAGAGGCGTGTGAACTCCATGGTCAGACTTCCGATCTCCGCAAGGAGGACCTGCTCGTCCGCTACCTGTGGTTTGCCCTCGCCCGCTGCACGGAACTGCCATCGCGTGATTGGTAGGTGGTTGGGTGTGTCGAATGCATGGTATAGCATCTCGCCCGCCTCCTTCGCCTTGTTCAATAACCTCTGGTCCCCGCTAAGCTCGAAAGCTGCCAGAAGACCACCCAAATGCCGTATGTTCGTCTCGAACACATTGATGTGGTCCAAATCGGTGTATCCAAAGTCGATTTGTTCGATATCCTTGATGGTGGACGAGAACTCCTCTTCAAAGCCCATTATGTATAGTGTGTCGAGCGCGTCGATGAGGGTGGCCGCCCAGCCTCCAAAGTGATCCGCTGCCTCTCCGCTTATAGGTCGGACTTCGTCGTGCATCCATGCGTGGCTTCTGTAACTCTTCCAGCATTTCAGGAATTGTTTCTTAACCTCTTCCTTCCTCGTCTCGCGTATGTTCTTGGCCGTAGCATCTTCCTGTCCAAAGTTGAATTGTATGGGTGGTAAGGCTTTCGGTTCGCCGGCTGGTAGTGGAACGAGGGACTCGATGCGGTTTTTGAAGGGGACCTTTGTCCAATCGAAAGACTTGTACTTTTGCTCTTTCTTTGGTTGTTGGCTTTGCTGGCTCTCCGGGCCTTTGTCGGCGTTTACAGGCGCGTCGCCAGGCTGCTCGTATGGAAAGCTGAGGGACCAAAGCATGTACAGGAAGCCCACGGCGAGGACGGTGTATAGCCCATAGCGTCGCAAAAGCGCCATGGTGTATTACAAGAATTAAGTAAAAAGGGGTATAAAGAAGGGAAGAAGACGGACGCGCAAGACGATGTCTGCGCATTACGAACTGTGGGGAGGCTGATGACGGCGGTTCCTGCCAAGTCGGGAGGCGGCATCCTTGTCGTACACTGGACCCTGTACCTGATTACGCGCCGCTCTCCACGTCCGGACGCCCATCATTGCATCATCAAGACAAGTGCCACGGAGAATAGAATGCGATCCGAGGATGCTGAGTTCGGAGCACGATAGCTAGCCCGAGGAAGCTTTAGTACGGTCATCATATTCACCTACTCGGCGCGCACCTTGCTTTAACACGAAACTTATCAAGGGGATCGCGTACCACAACGTCAACATGCCTCAGATACATTCTGTCCAAGGCCACTGATGATGTTTGGAGCATATTCGAGTCACAATGGCAATGTTAGCTTCATCTTCGATACATAGCGACACACCCCACCCCCTTGGTGATATTCATCCACGTATAATTTGACATGTGTTTTTTCTCTATTATGTACATCTGGACTCAGCTTCTATGACAGCGAGAGATTTGTATGTGACACCCGCAGTTGTTATTGCAACTGCGCAATGGTCGTCTGTGTCTTCTGCTATGTTCATTTCTTCCTACTTAGACTCTGCTGGTGGCAACATGACGACGTACTCCCTCTCACTGCCTCCAAATTTGAGTATGTCCTTGTCCCTCAGCTCAAAGTAGCGACTCGCCTCGAGATCCTCTCCGTTGAGCTCTGTGCCATTACTGCTTTCCAGGTCAATGATGTAGGGCTTGACTTTTCCCTTGTGGCTCTTGACACCGAATTCGTCTTCAACCGTCTTTTGTATGTACCGAAACTGGATGACTGCGTGCTGTCCACTTGAGCTAGGGTGGTCGAGAACGTAATCGGCGACTTCCCGAGATCGTCCCAGTAGCCAGCAGCTCTTGTTCCAGAGTTCGATGGTCTCTAGCACATCGTCGCCCTTGAACACGAAGATGCGCCAGGGTTGTGAAGCGGGCGGTTTGCGTGCCTCGGGCGGCTCGTGGTACTTGAGGGAGATCTTGGTGCCTTCTACGCGGTTGGCAGCTTTGGCTAGCGCGCCAGTAGGCTTGAAGTTGGGCTTCTCCTTGTCAGGCGGTGCGCCGCCATACTTGGAGGGTGGTTGGGCCGAGTCGTCAAGCCCCCGGAAGGAGACTTCTTGTGAAGGTAGCGGTTGTTTGGCCCGCTTGTGGGGCGGCGGTGAGCGCGAAGGCGATGGAGAGCGTGTGCGCCGGTGACGTTTGGGCGGTGGAGATGTGGATGCAGAGGGCGAGCGGGTGCGCGGTTTGCGAGAACGGTACGGTATGGGCGAGCGTGAACGTCTGCCTTCTTTGGACTTGTCGCGGCGGCGTCGCTCTCTGGAGCGCGAGCGATCTCGCCGGCTGTGTCTGTCCGTGGAGCGATCGCGCTTTCTGTTCCTGTCTCCGTCCTTGTCGTGGGAGCGATCGCGCCTTCTGTCCCTCGAGCGATCTCTCTTTCTGTCGCCCGATCTTTCTCGCCTCTTGTCGCGTGACCGGTCTCGTCGCCTGTCTCTGGATCGGTCCTTCCTCCGCTCTCTTGATCCATCGCTCTTCTTCTCTCTGGAGGAGCCTCGTGGCTTCCTGTATGGTTCCGGCGACCGTTCCCGCCTGCGGACAGCGCTTGGCTCGACTGTCGTGGCCTTTGGCTCACGGGCGTTCGGTACGTCCTCGGGCTTCCTCTCTCTCGATCGACTTCTCGAGCGGCGACCAGATGCTATCGAAGGCTCCTTCCCAACGCGTTCGGATACATGTCTCGACAACCTGCTCGGGCTTCCGTTCCTGCCCTCGACTGCCGGGGGCGAGGCAGTCTGGCCTTGGACTAGCTGTTGCGTAAGCAGCCGTCGCGCGCTGTAGGGCGACAGGTCTCTCGCCATATCGGGCCCGATTGCTGAGCACTGGGGCGCAGTCGCGGTGTCGAGATTGGGGGCGCAATGACGATCCCAACTTTTTCTCTAGTGGCTGGTGGATACAGCCAACGTCAACGGGCTTCCTGGGGGCGGCGCCAAGTCGCCTGCACTGCGGTGGTAGCCGGCTAGACCATTACACCGTAATTAGTAGTGGGCTGCGCAAAGAAGCAGAAAGGAATGTGACTAGTACGCAATAGCCGGTTAGCGATTGAAGCTGTCGGTCGCGACTTCCCCAGAGGCCCAAGCTTCCTGCAACTTCGTCACGGCGTCGCGCTACCGCGCCTCATCTTCATCTCGTCTATTCGCTGCATGTACACGGCGGCGCCACTATCCACTCCAAGGCGCCTATGTATACGATATGCAAGGAGCTTGTGTTTCTCTCCCACCCAGTCGGCCCATTTGGCCCCTGCAGCAGCGTCTTCAGCCGGATCCAGACAGGTACGGCGTGGTTTGCAGCCCCGAAACATGACAGCGGGCGTTATGAAGGCGGCCAAGATGGGCGCCTTGCAAACGTAGCCAAACCATCGTCCCAGTGCCCGCAAACTCTCTGGCGATTGCCTTTCCGCCAATCTCTCTCTCTTCGCACCATATCGTAGCCCGAGCGCCTGTAGTTTCCATCCTATCTTCATGCGTCCGCAGTATTGCTGCCACTGAGTGCGGCGTGCGCAACGATCGCGCAATGCCGTCCAAGCGAATCCTGTCCTGGTCAAAACGCCAGTCTAGTTCAGAGCCCTACTATCGCACTGGGGGGTTGTTATCGATTGAGTCGATTGAGCCCGAGTCCAACACCGACGTCGAAGCAAAGGTACGATAACAGGCACAGAATCATGCCAGCGGCCGTCTGGAAGTCGGTGTCTACAGCTGTCTTGTGGTGCCTTACCATTCGCTAATCATCTCTTCCAGACTACACTGAAAGTTGAAAAACGACGTTCAGCCAACCTGGTCATCTTTCCATCGGACGACAGACAACATGTATCCAGTCCCATCACACCCCAGTACGATACAGCCGTGTTTGGGACTGTCAAGACCCTCCAGACTGCGTCTAGCGACATGTTGCGCTCTCCGGTGCCCAGTACGATTGCATGCTCGAGATCTGCCTCCATAGAAAAGCCTCTGCCCAGTCGCCCACGGTCCGCCTCGGTACCATCGATTGCAGAACTACCCGCTGAGCTCCCTGGTTCTCTTCTCCTAGAGAATCAAGGGTTTCCATCCTGTACGATTCCAGTGTCCGTCCAACCCACAATCCAGCTCTTTCGAAGGGAGAGTCACCCACCTGACAAGCGCTTGAGCCACGGGAGTACATGCTTGAATGCATTGGATTTGGTCCCGTCACCATTGAATCATACGAGAAGCGTTCCAGAACTAAGCTCGCGGTATAGCATCATGAGAAACGTTCCTACCAGCGATGCACTTGATTCACGTGTTATGGCCCAAGCCGGCATACCAGCGGCATTGGATGACAAGTGTTTGAACAAAACCGGAATGCGGAGACGTTCGAGACCGGACCTGATTACTGCGCTCTCTGCCATGGACGGAAAGGTTTCGACAAACAGAAGTGGCAGGCATGGTTCTAGTCAGATGCGGCAGGTCCAAGAGAAGAAAGTACGTGATCGGGATACCGAAAAGCGCCGACGCAGCAGTCAAAATGAAGTGAGTGCTGTTTGTTTCTTGATAGAGGCGTATTTACTGGACAAACAAGAAGACTGCATAACGAAACAGTTTCAGAACTTCTTTGTGTACCATCTCCAACTCTGATGCGACGATGTGTGCCTGAGTTAGATGTACTTCTCTGCCGTCAGGCCATGGCATCTGGCTGCTCGCTGGCAATGTATTGTTGTATTCCACGGATCGGAGGCCTGGCAGGCGGATAATGGTGGTGTCAGGTTTCACATTCTCATGTTGCGCGGGCGGCACTTGCACAAACCGTCACCAACTAGTCTCATCGCCATGCCTCTTTCTCTGCCTCGTAATGGCCAATTCGGGCCGTTTCAGTTGCCCAGCATGTATTGCATCCAAATACTAACTAGACCCAGGCGTCTACTGCGACCAGTTCATCGACGCGCAACAACCAGATCGACGAGCTAAAAGCGATCATTGCCACACAGAATCAGACAAACTCAGTCCTACAATCTCAGTTCGCCGCCTTGAGATCGTCGCACGAAGCACAAGTTGCAAGCCTCGTGGACGCACACTCTGCGGAGGTTGCATCTTTGAAAGATCACATTCGGTTGCTTCAAGAGCAGAACAGCAAGCACGGCCTGCACCAGGGTGAGTACCCTTCCAAGTATTCCTGCTCAGTCCACCACTATACTTCACTGCTTTGTGAAGACGATCTCTCTCAACGGGTTAGATCGATCAGTAGGGCTTTTCGAGCTGTGCATCAGTGACACCAGCTATCAGTTCAACATGCTAAACGTGTCTAGTGTCGAGGAATAATACTTCGCTTGTCTCGGATAGCGCTGAGCTGCCACACACGTCGATTCGCGAAACCCCGCCGATTGCTGAAGACCCCGACTTTGCCTGTCCGGTCGAATCTGAGAGCAAACAGCGTTCACACCGGCGATCAGAAAGCAGCCCAGAGATGGTAATGATACACCCGCTCTCCTTCTGGAACCGACTGCTAATTTGGACTGCCAGGAGAGCTTGAAGCGGAAGCTCAGCGCCACACGTCGACCAGAAATGACAACTCGGAACCTGCTCCCAGAGCTCAATCAGTACAGACAAAACAATGTTGCTCTCCAACAGCAGATCGAATCATTGATGGCGAAGTTGAACGAATCGAAGAAAAGCGAGAGAGAGCTTCGTTCAACACTAGGACTGACCGAGATGAGATGTGCTGAGTTCGAGGACAAGGCAACGCACGCTGACAAGCTTGCCAAATCCACGCAGGCTCTGCAAAACACCATTGATCATCTCGAGAGCCGCCTCGAGATCGCCAACACTGAACGATTGGACGCGGAAGAGCAACTTTCGAATCTAATGAACGGGAAATCACCCTTCGACCTCATCTCAAAAGAACCACCTAGTACGAGCCACCCAGCTTCCGATGGACGTATGAGTATGAGTACGGTCTTCTCGAGCGCTTCGCCTATCAGTTCAGAGCTTGACTCGCAAGAGAACGCGACGCTAGCTTCTTTTGTTGCGCACATTGAGCGTCTGCAAGACCAGGTCAGGGAGAAAGATCGTCGCATTGCGAAACTGGAGAAAGAGCGAGAACAGCTACGACGGGCACACAGCGAGATAGAACAAGAGCACAAGACAACTGCCGGTCGTTCAGGCACACACCACCCAGACACGCATATGGAAAGACTTCGAGCCGCAATCTTGAATCGCGAATCCGTAATTGAGGAGAAGGACAGGGTCATTTGTACAGTGGAAAGACAGCTGGAGCATCACAAACTCATGTTGCAAGCCGAAATCAGACGGCATGCGGCAATGAAGCTTCATATGGCTGGGGAAGGGGAAGACAGCTGGCCGGAGCTTGCCTCCATTGCGAGACGGGAAGACATCGATAGGTGGATGGATAGGCTCCACGAGCGCTTGAGGAGGGAGCAATCTAAACAGAAGGGAAAGGCTCTTGCCGATACTCCGGATGTGCAGATGGAGAGCTTGCGACAGGAGATCGACTTCTACGTTAGGGAAATTATTCTCTTCAAGCTCGACATCAAAGGTTACAAGAGCGACATTCGAAAGCTGAAGAAAATCACTGCGCAAATGGAAGCTTACGGCCGGACGAGCGATCTGGAATCTGAAGCATGTTCTCTCAGGCCAACAGTTACACCTGTCCCCTCGTATTTCCCGCCGACCACACCAGAGCTCGATGGCGCCAGTGTTGTCTCGCCTGCTATAGACGAAGGTCATATTGTGACTGCCCTGGGAGGATCCCCAGTTGCTATCTCCCCATTGGCTCCCTCGCGCGATCGGGACCGCGTCTTCATGGCACCAAGAAACTCACGCGAGCTCGACATACCAGCAACATTATATGAGGTGGCGCATAAGGATGACTACGCAACCGAAGCTGATCTCATGAGTGCGGGGGCCTCTTCAAACTTGGTCTTACCGCGGACAGCTACGGTATGTGCGCGCTGACGGTGTTAAGAGCCCAGCGTCTAACTCACCCAGTGCAGCGAACTTATCACAAGCTTCCCATCACCCAACTCAGCTGTACCACATCAGCGCGTTATACACAAACGTAGTATGAGTGAACCATCACTTGGGGCGTATCAGACCTCCCACGGAGACCATGGACTATAAGGTGGCGGTACAAAGTGTGTGAATAGTTAAGAAAGTAAAAGTTGAATTTAAATACTACTAATTATATAGGAACTAAGGAACTATATACCTGCCTCTTCTTAGTTAAGAAAAGACCTGTCTGTCTAGATTTTCTACGTTAAATGCTTAGGCAGCATAGGTAAGCGTGCACTTCTTCTAAGAGCATGTAACAAACTTGTTACATCTTAGCTATTTACATACTATCTTTTTGCTCTAATTAATTTGTAGCTAATAGAGAGAATAGACCTAATTATTAGTATATAGACAATCTTCTATATTATGCTAATATTTAACGCATATAGTAATACGCGCATTCTCTCTAATAATAGCCTTCTGCGCTGCCTACTATACGTTGTACTCTTCTCTACTTCTAAGATAGAAAACAACGTTAGTATAGCTATTATTATAATATACTTAGTTATAGTTCTAAGAGCAAAACTATTTGTCTCTATTCTTATAGTAGGTAGTATAAGCTTCTCTCTTGCAGAGAGCCTATATCTCTTTACATCTATTATATAATTCTATTTTATTATTATATATCTCTCTAGATTTCTAACACTTATAATATAGAATATAAGCTTAGAACGCAGTAAATACGTAGAGTTCTTATATAAGTTTATATAGAAAGCGTATAATTATACAAGAAATAAACTTTACGTCTATTACTTAGCTTTTATAGTACTCTCTATAACTAT